TAAGGTGAAATAATTATATAAAGTGCAAAGTATTACAGACTTACTGGTAACAATTATGTAGGACGAGATATAGTAATCAAGCATGCGGTATAGTAGCACAGCTGCTTCATAGCGTTCTCTTTTTTCATAAATAAGCAAAAAAAGTTTTCTGAAGAAAAAAAGTCCTTTTTTTTCAAAATCCATGTGTTAAAAATATTTTTCCAACTTATTTACAAAAATGCCACATTAAACAGTATTGTGAAAAACTTCTACTGCATGAATGATTACAGTGATCGGATCCTTTTTCTTTTTTCTAACGCTCATCCTTAATGTTTTCGTTTCGAATGAAGGAAGTGAGCTCGCTTTCTATGGTATCGTTATTCTGAAATGAATAATTCGTTACGATAGTTTTATTCCAAACAATGTACAGCACTGGGAAATGGCTGAAATGAGAGAATTTCTATATTTTTTCAGTAATGACTAAAAGATTTTATTCCTTTTCTGCAGATAATTGATTTTAATAAATTAAATAGAAAATCAGAATCATTTCGCAACTCAAAATTCACTCAAATTTTTTATTGTAAAAAAGAAAAAAACTTAACAAAAAATTTAAGAAGGTATCTCGTTTCCTTCCCATTTATGCAAAATAAATTAATGCACTCTAAAATGCGTTGTCGTTCCATCTTTTATATCTTTAATTTTTTTCCGCCTTTCTTTCCTTGAAAGTTTTTAACCATAATTTAAACATAACTTTAAATAAAATAAATCTAAACAAAAAACGAAACAGATGAAAATGAGATTTTATTTGATAAAATTTTCATTCTATAACAAATTTGTGTGAAAAGAACGGAGGAGCGAGGGATTTTTCAATGTATCCCAAAATGAGATGCTGCTAATAGTCAACTTTTAGAGACACGCCATCGACAAACAGGGACAATCCATTGAATAAAGCAACGGTTGATTTCGAATTTCGACTTGTTGCTTCGGAATTGGAAAAGAAGTGCCACGAGTATGATCGGATCGCCGGCAAGAAAATAACTAATACTAATGGAACACGAAAAGATGATAAAAAAATTTTGTAAATATTTCCCATTATTACTGAAATATGGAATAAAATATATGTTATTGTGGATTGCAACATAATGACGGAAATTAATAATTGATTGACAACTCAAAATCCTTTAATTTTGTTGTTTCTATTATTCTAATTCTAAATGCATACACACATTTGCACTATGATAAATCAAATTTTATGAGAACAAAAAAAAACAACCGAAAAAAGGATTGAATTATTTATGATATTCATATATTTCTTTAAAAAATGAAAATTGCTTGATAAAAAATTATTCATTTTCCTGAATGTAAAATGATGTTTTCTTTATTTTCGGTTCTAAATTTTAATTTGAAGCAGAACAAAGTGCTTGATAGAAATGAAATAAAATAAGGCTAAGCTTATTTTATTTTGGAATCATAGCAATTTCATTTTTCTTTCATTTGCTAATTATTACAAATGCAATTATCAGAAACAAAGAATTTTTATCACTTGTAAATGACTAATAAAAAATAAACCAAATAATTTGCTTTTAATATTCATCTGATAGTTGTTTTGAGAATGAGTTATCATTAGTATTTTTAATAATTCAATTTTGTGCTCCATCCTGAATAATTTGTCAAAAGGTTTTTACCGTCACCTGAAAAAAGCGTAGTATAATTTTACTCTAATATAATGATGAGATAAACTTAGACGAACTGTTCGCAACGACACCGATAAGATGACGTTAGAGTATGACGAATCCGACATATCAAAACAACGCTTTAATATAGCTCTCCTAGGACGGTATGATATTCTGATGAGTTCAAACTTGGAATGCTATATCAATTTAATGAAATCGTCGTAATTTGCTATTATCACTAATAACTTAATCAATATTACTGCTCGCATTCTAAGCTATAAAATATTTCATTCTTATATCATTTGCTTTTTGCATAACAGCAATAGAAAGCGGCTGATGTAATGGTGATCGCCTAAATTTTGATTCAATGCTTGTTGAAATGGGTAGTATTGTAGTTGGTGATGACGGTGTTGTCGTCGGGCAATGATTACGTTCATTGCACGGACGTGATTCGTAACTTTTGCCCTTGCATCCTTTTACAAGAAATGACGTTTCATAATGACATATTCGTGTTCGAATTTGTTTTCCACAAAAACATCGTTGCCAGTCGGTCCATTCTGACCAATTTGATGCTAAAAAATATTTCTTTTAAGTTGAAAATGAATCAGAAAGGTATGAAGTTTAATTGTTGAAAAAAACTTTTTTCCAAAAAGCAGAAGAAAATTTACTTATTAGTTTAAATATGAGAATTCGAATTTTTCTAATATTTAATTAGATATTTGTAGCATCGATGTTGCTTTGTTTTTATACTGTGGAATTGAAGTCACAGATCTCACTGTCATCACTTCATTCATTCTAAATAGAAATATTAAAAACTTGTCTCTATCTTAAGAAACTTGTAAAAATTTCCGAATCACATATCCCGGGGAAAAAAAGCTTCACAAAGTATGTGATTCGGAAGTTTTGAAGTAATTTACTGTTGGTTAAAAGTTATATTAATTTAATTGCTAGCAATTTGAAGTCTATTTTCAAATTGATCGAACCCGATTTATGCCTATGTTACATTCGTCAAACGTTAAATTGCTGAGTGAATAATGCATATCCGTTTTCATTATTCGATTCCGATTATTCCTTTGGATAATTTGAAATTTCCCAAATGTGCAATCAATCACTGAAATGTTATGCAAATGCTGCCACTGTCGGATCGTGATGAATGCCTCATTTTATCACAAAATATCCCCAATAACAGATGAAAATCAATAATTTTAAAATAAAGTATTTAAAACCAACTAGCATTATCATTCATTGCAACTAAAAATATCCTCGATTGATCGATAACTGTTGGCGCTGTTGTCGGAAAGGAAGTTGATGTTGACGGTCCTCTCGGTACTAAATTTAGATTCATCGCTTTTCGATACGCTTCAACCTTATTATTTCCGCCTAATGTTTCCTGTAATTTCATTTTCTTATTTTTCATTTTTTATATTCTATTTTGAAATTTAATTTTAAATTTACAATGTTCTGTCAAGAAACAACAGATCGAAAACTATATTCCTCAATATTATGCATAATTTTCATGAATCAATTTCACATTACCTCCATGGCTTTCATAGCTTTTTCTAGACTTTCCACTTTTTCTCTCATTTCATCCAATTCTGTTTCCTTACTGCTTGGCTGATCAAAATATGAATTCTGAAAAATGTAGGATTTAAACCATGATGATTAGTATTATGCAATCTTATACCAATTGCGTTTTACTGCTATATTGCAATTTCAAATTTTAATTTTTGTCAAAATGATCAAAGTGAAGGTTTGATGCTGTAGTAATTGATTGATGTTTGATATAATCAATATAGTAATAGTATTTACAATAATAATAGCGATGATTTCATTGGAAATATTGTAAATATCAATAATTTTCATAGTTTTAACTTTGAAATTGCTGAAAGATTATAGTAATAATTATTTTAAATATTCGATTTTGAATTTCAATTACATCCAAATTAAAACTAACCTGTACAAGGTTATCCATAAAATTAAAATTTACTGCATTGAACTAAATTGAACTATACAAAAAAAAACTATTTCAGAAATTAACATATGGTTGCAAAATATCGTCCCTTATTATTACATTAAAATAGAATTAGATATCCTTGACGATAATATAACAGGTTTAATTAAGTACGAATATTGTTAAAATTATAAATTGAAAATTTATAATTCCTTAATTCCCATAAACATATCGACGCTTTGATTAAAATATCCAACACAAATGCTGCATGCATTTTTTTATTTGGAAATTATTTGAATAATTTAATAATAACCTTATTGGGCAATAATTTCTTGTTCGGTTCATCGATATCATCAGAGGAAATTGCTTTCAATAGTAAATCCAATGCTTTATCAGCAGCAGCTCTATCACTATCTTTTGCCTGATATCAAGCATGAAATCATTTCAATTTTCCGTTATTACTTTTACAGATTTTTTACCAAAATTTTTTATAGTTTGGACATGAAGCAACAACATCAATACTATCGGCTTACTTATCTATTTAATTAGAATTTAATATTATAATGGTTCCTGTGGTGAATAACAACGCTCATAGCATTATCATTAAATTCTTCCTATCAAACATGCGATGATTTTACACAGTGATTCTGAAACATTCTCATTTGATGATATCTTAAAATAACAATAAACGATAAAAGCCTCATTTATTTTTTCCTCTCATTTTCATACCTTATTAAAATCAACTTCGCCATCCTGCAGTGTCATGCGTGACTGATCGACGACGTACGTCTTCGGTTCAGAAGTTGATAGCTGTGATTCTAGTCGTGGAGCATACCTCCAATTGCTACTGCCTTCGATGTTCTGCTCCGGTAATATATCGAAAGATGATGCTCCTTGTCGATCTTCTCCTCTATTTATGTTTCTTTCATAAGCTATACATAATTTTCCTTTTTGTTTTGAAATTATTAAACATAATTAGTAAATCTCGTCCGAAATGATAACAAATAAAAAAATATTAGAAATGAATATTTAGTAAATATTTTTTTATTTGGACAGAAAAATGAATTTCTTCTGGAAATTTGAAATATTTATTTATTAATTTATATCATTAATTTAAAAAACTAACAAAAGTTGATCGAACTTCTTTAATAATATTCCATCATTCTGATTCAAGGGACTCGAGTGAGCTTCTAAAGTTTTAAATCCTGCCTGTGTCGTATTCGATCTCGGATGTACAAATTGTGAGTTTTTATCGGGAAACTTATTATTTCTTATAGTTTTCTCGGAAGTGTTCACCGGGATTAGTGCTTTGGCTACTGGTACTCGTATGGAAGACTGATAATCAGATGGAATTTTCACTTCTATTTCCGGCATTTTTGTCGTTGTTGGTGTTGTAGGTGATGACGGTGGTAGTGAGGTTGACGACGATCCCGTTGCTATTTTACTGTCTTGTGGTACGGAAGATTCAGACGCAATAAGATTCAGCATATAAATATTGGGAGTTGTTGTACTGAAGTCAGGAAATTTAGTATTATTGTTAGAGGTCTCTTGTGCGACCCAAGTAGTGATGCCAGGTGGCATCCATACCAAAATTTTTGGAGGTGCAGGGACAACCACTTCTTGTCCTTTCGAAGAAACTACCTGATCTTCTGTTTGATCGATTAAAATTCTTTCTGTTGCTGTAAAAAGCACCGATCGTTCGACTTGCTCAGGTTTATCTGGTGATTGTGGTGGACTCGACTGAGGTAAAAGAGAAACTTGAGGTGCATGATGAACTGATTGTAAGAGTGATGATTCTGATGCCACAGGAGACTGTCTCACCGAGTGCACCGGTGTTTGATCGATAGATGAAGGAACTTGTTGCTGTTGATTACTTCGTTCTAGTTTGGCATCGGTTAGGAACGGTGCACGCGTGGTAATTTCCGCAAGCGGTGACGATAGTAATGATTGTCCTCTTTGCTTAGCGTTGGAATTTTCTGTATTCAATATTGAAGCTGAAATTCTTTGGGAAACTTCATTAAATAGTGAAATTTTTTAGAAAAATTTGTCTTTTAGACGAGATGAAATCAATTAAATATTATTCAAGAATACATGAAAACAATTAATTAATTCGCCGCTGTGTTCAAATCTTCGATCACATGACTCAGATCGTTGCAAAACAATTAATGAACTGCATTGTTGATCGCTTAATTTATTTGTTTAGTCTTGATGCTCACAAGTCGATGATATATGGAGAAAATGTAAACTAACTTGTTTGTTCCTCATTTCCTGTTCGTTTATGTGATCCGGTCTGGTCGCCATCAACTCCCTTTGTCGCCATTCGCACTAAAGTGTTGTTTAATCGTTACTGTCACTTCTATCAATTTAAATTTGCAGAAATTGTCCAATTTCTAATAAATGTTCTATTCTAATCTCTTTCAGATTATTCCTCTCCTTTTTTGACCGTTTCACTGCTCTATCAAAATAAATTTTCTTTCGTTAATCTAATTACTCTTAACACATTTAAATCTTTTCCATCTAAATTCTTAAATCTGAAAGGGATCATTGCAGAACTGCAAACAATAATCATTCTGACTTTCTTTATAAATCGAACGAATTAAATGTTTTTCAAATGCCTTCGTTTTGTTTTTGTGTTTGCTAGAATTTCCCTCTTAGTGTCTAGATGTGTGTGGAAAAATTTTTGAATAAATTTTGTTATAGAATTGAGGAAAAAATGAACTTCGTTCACGTCGACGAATCTCCGATCCATGCGGAGCAAATTTTATTTTGTTTTTCCCTGAATTGTTCTTTTCTAACTCATCTGGCAAATACTGCTGAGAGTAAAGTTGCTTCATAGCTTCCTTTCGGTCCTCCTCCCACGGGTCCACAGCTGCATAATCGGATTCATGCACCGCCGGTTGCACGTAATCCAAGTCACACTCCATAAATTCCTTAAAACCGATCAATTTGCTAATTTGGATTTTTCCAAATTTCAAAATTCAATTTAACAGCATTAAAATTGCATTTAAATTTTAAAACTGTATTTCAGAAAAAATAATACGTATGTATGGTTCTATGAATATAATACGCAAATTACCTGTTTTTTACCAAGACAGGAAAATCCTCGAACTGTGTTGCATGCTCGTACACGTACACGTACTTTGTTCACGCAGAATGACCATGCTGACCATGATGCCCATATAGAACCGTATACTGCAAATTGCATTTTTTAGCCTTATCGACTAAACTTTCATTAAAATAAAAACAATAAATGAGCGGGAAGTTTTATTTGTATTTTTTAAAAACTTGTTTTGTGCAATATACTAAAAAAACGTTGTAGAATTTGGAATAGTCCGTGGATTTAGAATTTATAATAAATTGATTTTAACTAATTATAGCAATTTAAAAATGAAAATAAAATCTATAAATAAAAGTTTTCAAGCTTGGTTAAAAAATTTTTGAATTCATTATTGAAGTATAAAGTTAGTTTTATCATTCCATACTAATTTATTATTTGATCAATTTTGTGATACAACTTGACATGTTTTACTTATGTTATAATTGGTCAAACATTTGAAGTATTTTTTATGCTCAAAAATTTCCTCTATATTTGAAATAGAAATTGCGTCAATCACGAATGATACACGTAATTGGAGTTACTATAAGTGCTAAACCTTGGAGAAAGTTATAAGGAAGATTAAATGACCAATATTAAATGAGAATGTGTATTTTTACGTCAGTTACTTACTAAATGGACCATTAGTTGGTGGCGGTGAACGTGGCATACCGAATCCGACGAATTGATTTAGTTTACCAGTACGGTAATTAAACGGATATTCCGTGACTGCATTGCCAAGTACTGAAACTTGTATTTTATTAAAAAAAGAAAAAAGAAAAAAATCCTCCGATTACTGAAATTGGATATTAAAAAAGTAATCAAACAGCACATTAAATTCTTTTCATCCAAAAAATGAATAGTAAATAAAATTTATTATTTTTCTTTAAAAGAAAGAAGAAAAAAATGTAACAGTTGGATTATCCATGAAAAGATACTCCCGAATATTTCAAGTAAAATATAATCAAAAATGAATAAATGGTATAAATGATCAATAAATGGTATAAAATATTAGGGAAGTAGAACTGTGCAAGACGAAATGTAAATATTTTTTATTTTTCATAAAAATTTCGGTTAAAATATGACGTGTGCACAAATATATGACACTTGCATAATATCATTGGATTTTTTCAAAACAAAAAAAAATTTTTTGCCCGAAAATTTCTATCAATTTTGTTTTGAAAAATTATTCGAAATTAAAAGACTATTTATTGATTTATTGATAATTTTACTATTTCCATCTAATAATTAGTGACAATAGTTGTCAGAAACAAACTTTGGCAGAAGAAAATTAACAATAAGATGGTATTAATAGTGATAATTATTGCAATTGTAATTAGATAGTTGAACTGTGCCATTCTGCTTGATATAGAATCGTTTCAACGATTAAAAAAATAATAACATTGATTAATTAGTAATGGAATTATTCTTTTATTAATTATGATGTAACTGTGCTAGTAAAATTATTATTATGATAGCGTGAGTAATTGCTATATAAGCAATAAAAAAATCTTGCTTATAATTTCAAATATTTGATGTACTTATTTTGGTATGATTACCTTCCTTGCAATATTCGAAATTCAATAATTCGACTAGGGGTTTACTGCTACTTTAACATAAATAAACTTCAGGTTTTTTCTTACCTGCGCATGCTCAGGTCATTTCCAATAATTTTGCTCTAATATGTTAAAGCCATGAGTGTCTTACTAAAACGAACCTTTAGCTAGAGATAAAATATTGAGCAGTAATAATTGCTTGATCAGGAACGATGTCATTCGATGAGATTCTCAATCCGGCACAGTTTTATCCGATCGTTCAGAATGGAGAATAAACCTGATCATAAATTAAAAAAGAATAAAAACCATTTCAGCTTTCTAAAAGCTGATAAAAGAAAAAATGACTCGAGTTTAACAATAATTATTATAACGGTAATGTTAGTGATGATGATGACGATAATTATCACGCAAATTCCTGGTATTAAGAAAATGGATGATGACACGATCGTTAACTGAAAATGGTTGCTTTTGGGTTAGGATAGATGGATTAAAATTTTCAAGAATTTTGAAAAGACAATTGGGTCACAGTTCACAATCATTAGGACAAAAGGAAGCAATGATGATTGCTCGTTGAAAATAGAATTGAAATAACGAGAAATAGTTGATAAAGAAAGAAGAGAAGATGAAAAATGAGGATGAAAAGAGACGGATTGAAATAATTTTGATACAAATACGGAATAGAAAGATTAAAATTTTTCGGGGATAGGAAGGAATTGAGCCATTTCGTTCCATCTTCACTCTCTTCCATCGGTTGTTCCTCTCTCTGTGACCCCCGCACTTCCCCTTTACTTCCGAACATTCATTTATCGCTTTATTTCCTTCCTTCTTACTTACCTTTTATACCTTTTCCCACTATATCACCGATATCCCGAAAACCAGCAAATCTATTTATTGGCCATTATTTCTGCAAATTTTATACTTTTTCATTCCACATCATTTTTTCTCCCTTCCTCTTCCCTATTCCAAAGTTCACATTTCACGAAATCAATGGAAAGAGAATGTAATTAAAAATTCAAAGTATTGATGAAAGAAGAAAATTTTAGGATTTAACCACTTTACATCCTTTTAAATTCCTTAAAATTATCCGAAAATTAAAGCGATTTTATTCATTTCCTTTTCAGTAAAATTCATCGATTAATTAAGTAAAAGCAAATAACAGTAACAATGTACATCAATTTTAATGTCAACAGAAAGTCATAAAACGTCTTTGATGCATAAACTTGTTTTTGAAAACAAAAAAAAAAGGAATCTCTGAACCTTCGAAAATTGCAAATACAAAATTTAATATATCATTTCTAAGACTTTGTTTACAACGCATATTTCCTTGGTTCTAAAGTTTTTAAATTTCTTAGAAAAATCTTAAAATTTGAAAAATTTACCTAATTGACTATTTTTTCCGCTATTAAGTAAGCATTTCTTTCGTGCAATAATATAAATATTTATTCGATGTTTGAAATTTGCTGGTTTCTTGAATAGTAATGTTGTACATACTGAACCACAAGCAAAGGTTCATTTCAACGTTTATGCCGGCAAACAATAATTGCATATAAAATTATCAAATACTGAATATGTTAATGCATCCTCCAATTATAACATTAAAACTGTATTGGCCGATACTTGGTCATTTGTTCTTTTGTTTATTAATTAATAATTTATTAGAAGTGTCAAATTCAATTATTTAGACATTTAAAACAAAAAAGGTAGATGACGCATTTCATAAACTAAACAACTATGGAAGAATAAATAACCATAATAAATAATATGACTAAACAAGCAGAAACTGATTATAAAAAAATTTTGATTATAAAAACTGATTATAAAAAAGAAACTGATTATAAACAAACTGATTATTGAAACTGATTATAAAAAAATTTTGCATTCCCATTTTCATACTTGTTTTTTGTTCTTAAAATGAATTTCTCAAATTTTAAAATTATTTTAATCACGAAGAATCTCCATCACTCTAATTGATTCAAGATTATTCTTTGGCCGTTTCAAATAATTCGCTATAATTTCCTCTTCGATCATAAATGGATTTGAATTAGTTGACTTTTGTTCTTTATTTTTATTCTTTTTTGGTGTGAAACAAAATTGTCGTTCAGTTTCCACCTTTTCCACTTCACAAGGAGTTGATAAAGGATTGTCAATTGTTACATTATCATTGGAATCAATATTCTGCGATTGTGCACATGAACGAAATCGTGTATGTTCTTCGTTCTTGCATTCGGTCCACATACTCCATTCTTGCCAATTTGTTGACTTTATCAAATCTATAAATTAAGAAACAAATATAGTCAGCGTTTTTTCTAATTTAATAAATTTTTTGAAGTCCATCTTCTAAATAATTTATAATTCCTGCTTGGTGTTAATTCTATGATCATACATTTTATTATGATATTTTTATCCACATATAAATTGTAACTTATTAGTTGACAACTTCCATTCTTAAAAATTATTTACATGAAGTTTATACAAATCTAAAAAAAGAAAATTCATCAAATAAAAAATATGATAAGATAAAAAAGTAAAGTTGAAAAAATAATACAAGCAATGATAATTTTATTCATAAGCAATGATATGAGGATAATAATTTTCTTATTGCTTTCAAAAAATGTTGTTGGAAATATAACATAATTGATCAGTTGAGAATTTTAACTAATTTCAGTTTTTGTCATTATTTGGCCATTTTCCGTCACAACGCTTATTTCGATATTTTCAACTTCATTTCAGCTGTAAATTGGATTAATTTTGAATGTGACGATTTTTGCTATTATTTAATTTTTAATACATTGTTATCTTTCTTATTTGAAGAAATGAAAAAAATTACAGTTTATTCAAACGCAACAATTAGTTTTCATTTTCTTTTTGAAAATGAACTAATAATTTAACATTGCGATTTCAACAATTTGTTTGAAACAACAAAGAAAACGATGTAGAAGTGAAAAAAGTCAAAAATTCATTATCAATGAATGCTTTCATTATTTTTATTGCAAACCGCTTAAATGCTGCAACAAATTTACAATAAAATATTTATTCTTAACCAAAAAAAAAATTAAAAGTTGTTTTTCTATATGTTTCGACACTTTTTTCATGAATAAATGAATACGAAACATAACACAATCGATCCAAAATTTGTTTGACATTTCAACGTTGGTTAAACTGCTCAATCCTCCCATCGTTTCAAGCATTTTTTTATTTAGCAAAAGAATGTAAAAAAATATCCTAGTACCCAATGTATAATCGAAGCATGTCATAAATAAATTATTATATTTATTTTTTTCTCAAATTAATAATTTAATGTTAAAAAAAATTTCAAACTTCCCACTTACTTGTCTTTATTGAAATAGAAAATTGAAAAAAAATATATCTTTTTTAATTTTTTTGACAAATATAGATTTGAATTGAAGCTCATCATAAATAACTGTAATCATTTTCCTTCTCAAATACGAAACCAATATTTGAAATTTGAAATTGAATTTTATAAGATTAGGAAAAACAATTACACTTAAAATGGAAATAACGAAATTTTGATCCGTTTTTCTGAAATTAGATTTACTTAGAGGCACAGATAGTCTGCTGTAAGGTGTCGCTGCTTCCTACTGTAACATGGCACCGGAAACGACAGTAATTCCTACAGTATTCACACTCTTGAGTTCCTTGGACCACAATAAAATTCTAATAAAAATTTTCTTTCTTTTAAAGTTACATTCATAACTTTTATTTTTTTTACGAATATATTATATGAAATATTAGATAAACTGAGGTTGCTCATGTTACTCTCTTTTAATAAATTGGTGCAAAATCTATCTATTTTATTGGATTTTTCTTTTTTTTTTGTTGGTTTCATTTTCTGTTTTCTTAAAAATTTTCTTGGATTTGTATTAAAATTACGCTCATAAATGAAAATAAATTTGTCTGCGACACCCAATTTGCTCAAATTTTGAATAAATTTCGTTAAATACACGAACACTTTTTGTTTTGTTTCTTCTAATTATGAGCGTGAAAGAGATATCTTTAATTAGTAATTTATTTTCCTCTTTTTTGACTAACTTTCTTGAAATTTTATCTTTTTTTGTTTTTTTTTGCTTTTAAAGGTGAACACAATTTCTCTTTTCGTTTTTATATTTAGGACATTCGTAGTTTTTAGTTTTATTCATTTCCTCCTATTTTTGTTTTTTGCACAAAAGAGATATTTATCATTTAAAGCACCATTTTTGACTTTCCAAAACGTCCTTCTCAATTTCACAGACACTTTCGAGTAATTTTATTTACATTCTCATCATTTGCATCACTGATATGGCATGTAAACGACAACAAAGAATTGCTGAAAAATCTGACACTTTCAAAAAGTACACTTAAATAATTTTGAATTGTTAGTTATAATCGAATTTACGCATGAGTAATAGAAATGGAACAGTTTGGTAAAAATGTCATCACCAAACGATAATTTTCAAAAGTGGAACAATTGAATGACTTCAACAGTTTTATCGTTTGTTAGCTATAATAATCTGTGCATAAGCATTCTATCTCTAAACTGCAAAAATACCAATAAATATCACAATAGTATAGAAATAATATTATTAATTCCATCCATTTACTTCCATATTTCATCTCTTCTTTAATTGTTAAAATATTTAGAAAAGTTTACTTCTCAACAATAAATTTCACAAAAATTTAAATATCATAAAATATTCATATTTTTCAAAATATTTAAACGAAAATTCTTGGCAAGAAATAAAAATTATTGCAACATTTTTATAGAAATTTTTTTATTTTTTCAATGATAAATTCAAATTCTATGGGAATTTTTTTGTTCAGTTTACATGGTACAAAACTTCCATCATGTTTTTTTTTGTTTTATATTTTCCCTTTAAAATTACAAGTATTTGGGAATGAAAAATAAACAATTTATGACGACAACGAAACTGTTTGTTTTGAATTGCATTATTTAATTACTTCGTTGCTTTTATCATTTCTTTTTCATTGGATATGTGTATTTTTGTTGTTATTGAATTAAGCTACCCAATATTTTCTGATTTATTGCACTGCAATAAATTCGCTCAACACGTATTCAAAAATAAAATCTTTACGAAAACATTTTTATCGTTTTATTATTTATTGGTTTTAAATTTGATGAAATGTTTAACATTCTTATTTCTATCACAATTTTCATATTCCCTTTCATTTCATTCTCCTTTTTTATTTTCATTTATTGTATTTTTGTTCAAATAGCATTCATCTACCATTAATATTTCACTTATTATGTATTAAAATATAAAATTTTCAAATAATGCAATGTATATAAATGCAAAATTGAAAAGTAAAATATTTTTCGTCTTTGATAATTAAATTAATTAGTTTACATCACTATTATTTTCCTCTTCATTCCTATTATCATTTTCTTTACGAGCCTTATCACCACCTTTATCCTAATCGTTATCAGCATCGGTAGATAAAAAATTTTCTAATTTTTACCACAACAACTTATTTTTTCGTTTCCAATTTTACTTCGCACGATTTTATTTTTCTTTATCTCTATCTTTATTTATCGCTATGTTTATTGTCATCAGCATCTTCTTACATATATTGCTAATGTTAACTTTAATTTTTCATTTCTCGTTTTATTCTAAATTCAATTATCATTACCAACTCGTCTCAATTAATAGCACAATTATTTATCATCTTTTCTCTGCTTTCCTCTCTCTCTCTCTCTCTCTCTCTCTCTCTCTC